GTAGTTGGGCTGGGGATAGGGCTTGGAGGCAATCCGTTGCTACTCACAAAACTTTGCAAGGATGGCGAGAAACACTGCTTTCCAATGCCCCGGGTGGGGGACGGTGCTGGCGACACTGGAATGAAGTCGATGCGCTTCGGGGAGGCGGATTTCTCCACGTCGTTGTCACTCAGACTGAAACTTTCCTCCCAGGAGTGGCTTATCTGCATTGCGGTCTGCACCTCGCGCTCGTGGACCGTCTCTCGGTTGATCAAGTCCATGCCCTCCTCCTGTTTGATCTGGTGCAAGCGGCTGCTGTGCATGCGGACCGGAGAGGCCGGCAGCAGCAGGCCGTGGCGGCTCGGGAACGTCGTGCTGTTCCTCCTCGCGCTCGGCGCCTCGGCCTGGAACACCGGCGAAGTGTCACTGAGGCCGTGAATCAGGGGGGCGCTGTTAGACCTCCTGAGGCCCCCGCCGCCAGCACTGCTGCCGCTCTCCGCCGGGCTCCCGCCAGTGCCCGGAGGCAGCTCCAGATCCAGCTCCATCTTCTCCTGAGCCATGTCGGGGACAGGGAGGCGGGGGCGGTGCTCGGTCAGGGCCGTAGGACTCCCATTCCCTGCAGCCCAGGGCCTCCACCGCGGCCGCTGCCTCCCAGAATCTGTCAGCGGGCTCGGCCCTCTGCGCATGCGCGGCCCTCCGCGCAGGCGCTCTCAGACATTTGTCCTCAGGGCGCCTGCTTAGTGCGTAACAGCGGCGGCGCCGCAGCGCCAGGGGGAGGGGCGGCGCGTGGCTGCGCGGCCGCGCTGGGCTTTCCTTCCGCAAATAGCTACCGAGCGCGAGCTCGCGCGAACGCTCCCCGATAAGGCTGTCGCGTTCGGGAGTGTATATTCAAACAGCTGTAAGCTCCGAAGGAGAGGCTGTTGATGATGTGGGGCTGTGTGACGTGGAGCGGGACTCCGCCTAATCAGGGAGGGCGTCCCCAAGGAAGGGACAGTCTCCTGAAACCCGACGAGCTAGGCACCCCGACGCCTTGTAGAACTTTGCGGGGAACGGGGAGCTCGGGCCGCAGGGCCGGGTGGAAGGCGGGAACCGAAAGGGAGGAGGCGCGGGGCCTGCGGAGCGCGCGGCCTGGCGGTGGCGGGCGGGAGGCGGTGGGGGCGCCTGGGCTTCCCTGAAACAATGGGGACGCCACAAGGCCACGCTTGGGTCGGGAGCGATTGGAAAGTTGTGACTGCAGTTTGGAGAATAGGGATTGGGAGGTGGACCCTGCCCGAAAAGGACGAAGAAGGGCGACTTTCACCAAGGGAGGGAAGACGTGGGAGGGAAGATGGAGAGAATGGGTAATTTTGGAAACTGATCGCTTGGGGAAAAGACACTTGTGACTGTGTTACTGTTTTATTTGGCGTGCTGTTTCCGACTCAAGCGTAAATGCTTCATGTTCGGTATGAGGGGTTAAGTGAAAGGAAAACCAGTAGGTTCTCACATCTTAGAAATAAGACTTGGGTAATTAATGTAAAGTTCGGTAAAAGTCGATTTTCAAGTATTCCAAGTTTTTTTTTTCCCAGCATACCTCCATGTGGCAGCCACTGTGTAGGTTCTGGGCCCTATTGTGAGGGCATTTCATTACTTCGGGGAAGTGATGAGCAGTTTGCGGAGGGTGGTTGGGAAGCTATGGCAGCAGCACAGATGAGAGAACACAGGGCGAGGACTAGTGATGGAGAGTAGATGAGCACGGGATATATTTTTGAAGTGGAATTAATAGCATTTGAAGATGGATTAAATATTGATGGTGCAAGAAGTAATTCAAAGAGTATTCACATTTTTAACTCAGACTAAGTAGATGGTAGTATCATTTACTGAGGATAGCAAAGGAGCACATTTAGATGTGTGGAAATTAAGAATTCTGTTACCTGTGTGTCTCTGTGAACTAAAAGTTCAAGGATGTTTGCTCAGCCCCTTTTCTGAAATGGAAAGAATTAAAGTCTTAAGAAAATAAATAACATGAGACTGGGCGTGGTGGCGCGTGCCTGTAATCCCAGCTCTTGCGAGGCTATAAACAGGCGGATCACTACAAGTCCGATCTAGTAGTAGTGAGACCCTGAACACCCTGTAGACCCTTCCCTACAATACAAAAAAAGAGCCAACTAAAAAGAATAAACAAGAAAAGAAAAAAAAAAAAAAAAAAAGGGAAAAATGAAAATAAGGTAGTCAACATTACACACCCTGGTTAACAGTGGGAACCAGTAATAGAATCTAAGTCTCTTCTAGTTCTACTATCTTTTTATTTGAAACCCTTGTAAGATACTGGTTCTGAAGATAAAATATTCATGTCTACAGTTGTAGAATCTTTTAACTAATTTCCAGATGCCACTGAAAGTGCTTCACATCCAGTATCCTATTATTGGTCCCATTCTGCTTGGCAAGCAGGCACAGAATAAGTAACATTCACAGGATGACAGCATGTGGCTAGACCTGGACTCTGGCTCCAGAGTATCAGGATGATGCTGCCTCCTCCAAGTGTAGTTCAGGATTCAAAGAAACCACTTCTGCATAGCGGTTTTGTGAAGACACTTGTATTTGAGACAAGATTTAAAGATAGGACTTAACAGGGATGACATTTTATATAGAAATGGCAAATAATAAAGTAGTTCGACTGCTACACACATGGAAAAGACTTAAGTAATGGGAGAAATGTTGGAGCTAAGAGCATGGAGGTCTGAATGCCAGGCAGAAGTGTCTATATTTTAACATGTGAGGCAACAGAGAACTAGTTCACATTTTGACAAGAGGAATGATACAATGAGAGCTATACTTCAGGCTATGCCAGATATATCAAGGGTGGAGTAAAGTCAAATAACAAGGTGAAAACAACCAACATTTCTCAGTGCCTACTCACTGCCAGACCCTTTAAACATTTCATTGTCCCACTCACTCAACACTGCAGTCGAATAAATTAGACCCTGATAAAATTAGATTTTTACATTGTTGTAGAGGGACAACTGAAGCTTAAAATTTGCCAAGGGCCCACTGCCAGTACATGAGAAAACAAAGATCTAAATCAAAGTCTCTTCAGAAGTATGCTGAACTTCACAAGGAGTAGAGAAGGAGAATTTGATGGCTAATACAAAGGCTTGGAGCCAAAATGAATCACGGAAAGGGGAGATAGATTCTGAAGGCAGCACAGCAGCAATGGAAACTGGAAGATGAAGAAGGGGAGTCACAAATGACTGAAGGTCAAAGTGAGTGACTGAAAGAATGGCATAGCATTATTGAATAAAAAGTGGATAAAGAAAAAGCATCAAAAATTTCAGGTGAATGGTTAACAACCATACCACATTATTATTATTTCCATATTATTCAGTTATTACTAATGTAACTCAAGTGTGCCACTTGTCATTCATACACGTTTGGATAACATAGTTATTACATTACTAGTAAAGCACAATGGTGGTGTCAAGTCCATGAAATAAAACACCTATGTGCCCTTTAGCTTCTGCCTAAACAGCTTAGCTGGTTTTTCTGTTTATATACTTGTTCTTATAGCCAGTTCTCTACCCAGTATTCAAGATAATCCTTTTTTTTTTTTTTAAATGTGAATTATTACTTTTCAAATCCTTTAGCATATTCTCAAGAGAAGGCAGAGGTCATGGTAGTAGCCTACAGACCCTCCTCTGATCCTCAGAGGAGGATAATCCTTCCATTTATTTGCCCTTCCACAACCTTCCTGCCAAGTACAGAGGCCTCTGTTCTGCCCTTCAGCCCACTAGGCACTGCCACACCCATATCACTTGCCATTTAGAGGCTGTCCATGCTGCACAGTCCCTTCTAGTCCCTGCACAAATGTCATGCTGAGAGGCTCTCCTTGACTTGGCTCCAGCACTGCTAGCATCAGTCCTGCCTTCCCATGCTTCTTACTCTGCAGTTGTTTTCCCTCAGGGAGCCACACGACTTATCTGTTTCTCAGTCTCACCTCTACCTTTATGTTTCTTGCCCCTTATGCCCCAAAAAGGGGAATTTCACTGAGCTTTCATATTTGGTTTATATGAACAAATGTAGAACAAGACTTGCCATGGAGAGTTCATTGTTGAATCATGTGAGTGAATGATAATAAATGAACAAACTAATGCAGGTTTGTTCAAAAGGAAAGAGATTATTATTTGAAAATCCAGCATAATAGGGTATTTTAGATCAATTACAAAAATTTCTTGGACAATTCTTTTCTTGTATCAGAAATATTATTTTAGTTATACTGCCTTACAGCCCATGCAGGGAGGTTATCTGAAAGAACCACTATATAAACTCTGAAATTGAAGTGCTAAATTTCCATTCTTTTTGAACCATATGCTGACACATTTGACAGAATTAAAAATACTTAGTTCTGGGGATTCTAAGCAGTGTTTATTATACTGAGTTACCGCTTCCTCTCAAAGGAATCAAGGACAAATTTTTTTAAATGGCAGCCATAAAATACAATTCAATCTGTTTTAAATGAGTTATGCCAGAGGCAGGATCCAAGAGGCCTTCCCTGAGTCAATTCAGTTTCATTCTATAAATTAAATATTATACATAGTTGAAATTCATGCTCACTCTTACACCAAAAACCAAATATCAATTCAAGAGTTACATTTCATTATGATTAATATTAGGTTTTTAAAATTACCATGATGGATAGTTTCTTTTTAATTCATATGGAAGTTTTTCTTAGGGTTTCTCATATAAGAAAAAATATGCATCACTGAAATATGATGTCTTTAACTCTTTTAAGAAAGATACCTAGAAGAGGAATAGCCTGTTCAAATGGAATTTCAATTTTTAGTCTTTTGAGGAATCTCCATGCTGATTTCCATAATGCTTGTACTAGTTTTTTGTTTTGTTTTTTTACAGAATCTCGCTATGTTTCTCAGATTCAGTGTTTCTCTTGCCTCAGCCTCCACAGCTCTGGGAGTGTAGGCATGTACCACCACGCCCAGTTTGGGCTTGGCACAGCAATCCCTGGACCGGCACAGCATGTGGTACCAGGGACCGAACCTGGGTCCTTGTGCTTGCCAGGTAGGTGCTTAGACTGCCAAGCTATCTCCCTAAGCCTAGTTGTACTAGTTTATTTTCCCACCAACTATGCAGAAGATTTCCATTTCCCCACAGTCTTGTCAGCATTTGTTATTTGATTTCTTGAGGACATCCATTCTTCTAAAATAAGATAGACTCTGTGTTGTTTGAAATTTCCATTTCTCTAATGGATAGAGATATTAAGCACTATTTCATGTATTGATCTGCCATCCACACTTCTGAGAAGCTTCTAGTCATTTCATTTGCCCATTTTTTGATTAGGTCTTTTTTTTTTAGGGTGGGGGCAGATTTTAAGCTTTTGGGTTCTTTATATATTCTAGGCATTAGTTTTCTGTCTAAGATGTGGCTGGCGATTTTTTTTCTTCCATTCTGTAGGTTATCATTTTATTAGCTGTACCCTTTGCTATATATTTTTTTGACTTGATAAAATCTCTAATGGGCAATTTTTAAACTATTAAACCTTCAAGTATTATGACAAGGCTGACTTCCATTTCTGCATCTATACTGAATAAATGTGAAACACACAAGTGGATATTTGTGAGTATAATCTGACATGAGTAGCAAATATCTCAACATGCGATATTAGCTAGTATCACTAACCTAAAGTGAAAATACTGTAGAACCCAACCAGACTGTGAAAGCGCAGGAACTTAAGAGTGTTAACTGGTACATCCACTTAGGAAAAATGTTTGGCAGCAGATGTCTAAGAAAATATATGTATATCCTGTGACTAAGCAATCACACCCTTGAGTATACACCCCAAAGAAATGAATGCTAAATGTCCATAAACAGTTGAATGAATAAGTTATATGATGAAATACCTTGAACAACAATATGAGTTATGATACAATATTGGATGAAAAAAATCAAACACAAAAGAATGCATACTCTGTGATTCTGTTTTATGATGTGTAAGAATGGCAAAAACAAATCTACGGACATATAAGTAAAGAACAGTGGAAATGCTTAATACTGACTGGGCAGGATACAAGAAAACATTCCACATCCTGTTCTGTGTGCTGATTACACAGGAGTATGCATATATAAACATTCATCAAATTAAATATTGTACATATGTAAATATTAATAATATATCATTAGGTACAGCATTGGAGCTCAGAATGTTATCAGTGTGGAGAAAAACAGCATGGGAACCCAGAATGTAAATAGAAAAGGCAGAATAGGATAAAATGTACTTCAATTGGAACAAAGATATTTTGTGCAAACACTAACCTTGAGTCCAAACTGGAACACTTCCAGATCTCTCTCAAGACTTTTTGACAGCAGAAAGGAGACAAAACACATTTGTGTTCCATTTCCTGGGGCTCTAAGGGCCAACACCAGCAGCCTCTGGTAACTGGAAAGACTTGCGTGAGGCAAGTTAGAGATAACCAGGAGAAAAACTAGTTGGCCTCAGCCTTCTGCCTATTGTGTCTCAAAGCCAGTTACATCTGGGAGGCCACATTGGAGGCAATGAGGCTCGTCTTACTATCTTTTAGTTTCTATACTTCAGTCTGCATGGTGCAGTAGAGTGAGCCTGGTGCCTTGTCTATGGTATCTTCACAGCATACTTCACAAAATTGAAGAGAATTAAACTAGCCTCAAAAGATGCAGTAGAGGGGCTGGGGAGTGCTTCCCTGGCAAGTGCAAGGGCCTGAGTTCAATCCCCGGTTCAAAAAAAAAAAAAAAAAGCAGTAGAAGCTGTTAGCACATATTTGAGGAATTTTTAAAGGACACAATCTAGCCATAAGGAACTTACTTTGATGAAAGGGAATTAGATAATTTCTGAAACTTATCCACTCTATACAGTATTGAAGGCCCACAAAATGCAGACTGTCTGTGGCATCTACCTTCATGTTACTGAATTTATCCTTCAAATATTAGCCCAGCAGCAAGAATTAGAAAATCCAGACAGAAGTTTATCAAGGAACTACTGACCCCTCTCAACTTTCACTTTTAATGCCAGTTAAAAGCCATTCACCATTGCCCTGGAGCCCCATTCTTCTTCACACAGGAAATAGGAGGGTTGGAAGGGAGCTTAGAGCCTAGGCAAAGTTCACATGAAAACAAATGTGAATTCAGTTCCTTTCCTCAATTTTTTTGAAAGAGAGATATTAGAAAGATGGTAAATATGTAAACAGCCATCTATTTAATTGGCAATTACTATTCTCTTCAATATAGAAAACAGGGTCAATATCTTACTGCTCCTCACTAACTTAAAATATTATAGGCAGTGTTCATCTTTTAGTACCTTCTCCTTAGCACTGAACTCCTCCCAGGCCATAATCCAGGATTATGCTTAATATCACTTTATATCACTATATGTTTCTATCTGCCTATTTCTTATCTTTTGCCTACAGGTCTAATCTATTTGTCAGGAAGGAAAAAAATATGATGACATTAAGATAATGCACAAAATTAACTTTAAAACATGCAAAGGCTGCAAATGTAGTGGGGATTATATACCTGGGCTTTCCAGCTGGTTGGGTGCTATAGCTTGGGCCTGGAATGTCCTCAAAGCTCTGTGTTTTGTTAAAGGTTTGGTCACCGGCCTGTAACACTGATGAGAGGTGGTAGAGCCTTGGGAGATGGGACCTAAGTCACTTGAAGGGAATATTGGGACCCTGGTCTTTGTTTCGTTTGCTGGCTACCCTGAGGTAAACAGCCTTTTCTGCCATGTACTGTGCCACCACAACACAAAGCAAGGGGCCAACTAACTGTGGGCTAAGACCTCTAAAACTATGAACCAAAAGGAACATTTCCTTTATTTAAATTCATTACCTCAGGTGTTTTATTACAGCAATGGAAAGCTGACTGGCACTGCATGTTTGGAAATTTCCTAAAGGATCTCAACAATTTAACACATTTGCTGTACCAATCTTGGAGTCAGACTATTATACTTACAGTGCTGTGAGGTTGGGCCCTTTCTCTAGGTTTCATTTTTCTCAGTCATGAAACAGACAGCCTCTGTGTGGTATGAGTCAAATAATTAGATTCCACAAGAGGCCCACAGATTTCTTGCTAATAATGTACTCAGTACCATGATCACAAAGTTATCCTCCCCTGCCTTTTGCCACCCAGAGGAATTCCTTTGTTTTCTCACTTTTAGTTTGATTCTGTGGAAGGAGAATCTTCACCTTTTCCCTCAAGTCTTCAGTAATTTTAGAGCCCTACATGCTCTGCAACCTAAGACATTAGGGCCATATTTTAATAGAGAGTTTCTGAAAGGAAAAATGGTACAGTTGTACTTCTCAGATCTCTTTCTGACTGATATTTCAGAGGGGATGGATGCCATGGGGCAGAGAGGCCATGGATGACTCTGTGTCTGCACAGTGAATGCAGTTCCCTGCAGCCAGCCTTTTGTTAATCCCCAGTGACAGCTGCTGCCTTCCCTGGAAGAGCTGAACTTTTCAATCGGGCCTAATCCCAGAGGCTTATTTTTCTTTATTCAATTAAAACCCTGTTTTAAATTACTGCTGCCATGTTACTGTCCTTCTTGGTATATAATAAACTGAACAGGGACACACATATTTGGTTGTACCTGACAAGTTGAACTCGCCCTCTTTCTGATAAAATATGAAACATACTTGGAGGAACCTGGAAAACTATTCCTATATGTTTGAAATATTAAAAGTAACAAATTCTACTTATTTTTATTTTACCAAGTTCCAATATAATTTTACTTAGTAATGTGTATCAGATTTTTTCACCATAAAGAAATTTTATTTATGTTCTTTAAAGTTAATTTTATTGACACTTATATGGCATAAAATTCACGCTTTTAATGAAGACAGGTCACTGAGTTCTCACAAGTGTATACAGTCATGTAAGCACTGCCAGTATGAGTGTATTGTGGACATCTGAGCTCCTCTTAGGATGCTGATGGAGAGTTTTAAAACTTTCTCATATATAGACAAGCTTGTCCAATATTGAACTAAACATACATTCCTGGGATGTGCCCCCACCTGATCATGGTATTTATTTACTGCTAAATTCTATTTGATTGTATTTTATTGAAAGATTTTGTGTCAGTACTCCTGGGCAAGCCTATCTGCAGCATGCACATGTACATACACGGGCACCCGTCCACACACACCACCTTTGTGATATTCTAGGATGAAGATCACTTTGGCATCTTAAAAAACTTGAAAGTCTGCCTTTTGCTCTTCGTTTAGAAAAAAGGTGGAATAGTAATGTGTTTTTCAGGCTTAGGTGAGATGGTTCTATTTTATATTGATGATCTCAAAACTCTCTTAAATTTTATGTGGCCCTACTTATTAATATCAATGTGCCTAAATATTGAAAGAATTTACTGAAGCTATCCAAGCCTTGAATTTAGAGAACACTGTTGGGGAACTGTTCCATTTCCTCCGTAGTTACTGCCTTAGGTGCTCTATCCTGGGGGCGGGGGTTACTTTTTCTAGAAATGCCACCCATTTCATATATCCCTACAGTGTTTCATATAGTAACACCATGTTTTTTGTTACTTCTCTTTTTCATATCTATAGTCCATTTTTACTATTTCTGGTAATAAAGGAGGTATTTTTTAAATTTTAAAAATACAGGTTCATAAAAAGCAAAAGCTGAAAATTACCCACCATCTCATCACCAAGAAAAAATTATCTATATACATTTCTATCTATCTTTTATTAACTTTCCATTTCCATATGAGTATCATTTTGAGATCAATAATATAGCCCACACCTTCAATTTCAATGACTATGAAGTTTGGGTATACCATGAACTTATTATTTATATTTTTAACTATAAGGGATAAGTAGGTAGGTTATTTGACTATAAGGGATAAATAGATAGGTTATTTGACTGTAAGGGATAAGTAGGTAGGTTATTTGACTGTAAGGGATAATAAGTAGGTAGGTTAATTTTAAAACTTTTAAACAATACTGCATTGCTCATCTTTGTATGTTTCATCCAATTATAAGGCAAATTACTACAGTGCTGAAGTGCTAAGACCAAGGGGTATACATTTAAAATATTTTTGTTTATATGTAAATATATACATAAGTATTTATCTACATATGTTAATTTAAAAAGCAGCAAAACTCCAAAGATCTCCTGCAATTCATTTTTTTATGGATATTCATAGATGTAAGCATACATTTTAACCCTAAATGAGAGCATAAGATACCTTAGTTAGGTCATCACATTATGCCATGTTTTTCTGCAAAGCCTTGTTCTACATAGTTACAAGTATTTGGAGGATAAAAGAACCATACTTTGACTATTTTCTGATGAAAAATTAAGGTATTGCCAATGTCCAGTATAATAAATATGATGGCCTTTGTTTTTATCCAGTTATTTCTATAGGCTAAATTCCCAGAGGTGAAACTGCTAGATGAGAGAATATGTACTTCAAGGCTTTTATAACCATATCACCCTTGAGGAACTCTACATCAGCTGGCTCTCCACAGACCTGAGACTGCTCACAACCTCTGCTTCAGTCTTGGTGTTATGACTCTTCTTAAATTTGGACAACAAAAAGTAGCACTTTTAATTTTTATTTTTATCTGCACTATCAAAATTATCCACAAATCAGACATTTTTCATGTGTATTTTTTTCTTCCCAAGTTATCAAACCAATTTGTATATTATCTGCTAGTATCCATTTATATACAAAATACCTACAATAAATGATTATTTCTTAAAATCTTAGGCCCTAGTTTTCTGGTGAATTAAAAAGGAAAAAGGGGGCTGGAGAGATAGCTCAGAGGAAGAGTATTTACCTAACATATAAGGCTCTGATTTTAGTCCCTAGCACCACAAGAGCAAATCAAAACAAGAAAGAATGAAATCAAGCAAGCAACGCACCAAACAAGGCTGTACTTTTAAAAATAGCTTTGCTGCTCTTGCCTGAAGTTTTCAGTTAAACTTATTCTGAGACAAGGGAGGATAACAATTTTTCCCATGTGGATATTAATAAAGATATGTATCAGGCATCATTGTAAAATGTTTTTCTGGAGCACGAAATTTATGACATCATAGGCATGTCCCCAAGTTCTCTGTAGCATTTTAATAAATAATTCATTTATAATACGGTCTTATCTCCAACTGCTCCATGGAGCAGACCGTCATGAGACACAGCTCTGTGTCATCACAATGCTGACATCTGTAATGCTAGAAATATTAAAAATTAGGAAGGCAGCTTTTCTTGGAGCTTTCATTTTTAAACAAGCTCCTATTATGAACAATTGTGACTGATTTCCTTTGGAGCAAAAACTGGTGAATGCTAACTTTTTTCTCTTTGTTAAATGGTTAAGAACAAATGACCTGTGAGTGAATTCACGATAATGAGCCATGATTGTAACATTCCATCAAAGCATTGCTTGTTGAAATGCTTAAAAACAATATTCAGAATACATATTTCAAACAGCAGTGAATTTACATAGGCCTTCTTCATTTTTGAAATGCTAGTTTTAAGATGAACAGATCAAACATTTAAAATGTTTGGTACTTTTAAATTTTCTTTACAGAAATCAAGGTAATGATAATTTCAAGCATAAAATCACTTTTTCTGGCTATACTGACATTTATGATTGCATAGGGACATGGATAAGAGATCACAGAATAGAGATAAGGACAAGAAAAGATTTACTTCATCTATTACAACTAGGATAAATTCTTTGTCTTTACTAGCATGGTTACTGTTTTGACAAATTATTGCTAAGTTCATCTAACTTTGCAATGCTTGGTAGAATATGTAAGGTAACATTGTAGTTTTAAACAGTAGTATGAACATTCGGTAGAATAAATGCTTGAATTCCTAAAGCCAGTAGAAAGGTAGCCAAATGCTAGGCCTATGGTAGTAGTACCTTGACAACAGAATGTTCATTACTGTACAAATACAGCAACCTCATTAGACAAACCTTGTCCTCCCAACTCATGCTACAGGTACTTGAACACAATGGATTGGAAAATCTAGTGTGATTGATGATTAAAACAACATCTGAGGGATGTAAGATGACAAACGTAAAGGTCGTCCTACATGATTAATAGTCCTGTGAATTCATTGGCAGTGGATGGGCGTGGCTGACTACGCATTCCCAGAAAGAAGACACTGATTAGCTCCTGAATGCATTAATCAAATGAATATGATGGAGATCACTTTTTTTTTTTGAGATGAAAGCAAATCCTATAACATCAAGAGCAGCCAACCATAAAGAGAATCAAGATAAACTGGGGACCCATGTCCAAGGAAGCACACTGAAACAAAGGTTGTGATTACAAAACACAAAAGGAAGATGTTCAAGATGTTTCCGAAGGGAGTATCTGTAAGAGCAGAGAGAAGAGACAATGAGAATGTCATCAGCATTTCCAGAGAAGGATGCTGCCCTGAAGCAGGTGCTGTGAAAATTCTCATTGCCTGGCAGACAAGCGGTAAATGAACAAGGCTGATCCACTGAGTTGGCAGCATCTGCTCAAACAGCCTTTCAAAGCATTCATCTGCATTTTCTCTGCCCTATCCCTCATGTAAGAAACCATCTGATATTATGCAGCAGCTGAAGGAAGTTCACCAACGCATGGGAAAATATACACCACCTCACTGGTATAATTACCAGAGCATGCCGAGTGCTTTCCATTTTGAGTATAAATCGATAAAAATGGGATTTTTCTTCCTCCGTCATTCAGATGATTTTGAGTAGTATGAATCCATTTACCAGGATCTAATTCGTGTTCCAAAATGATAACATCCAGTTTATAACTCTATAAAATTTCAGGATACCCTTCAACAACTTCCACAGCCAAAAGTATCACATCAGCCCTTCCCAGGATTTTTTAACCTCAGGAACGTGATTGTGACCATCATTAACAATAGTAAGTAATGTTTGTTATGTGACTTTCATATGTCAGGCCCTATCTTGAGCATTTTAATTATAGTACATCATTGAAAATTCACAGAACTCTAAGATAGATTTCTTTTTTTTTTTCCTCTTTTTTTTTTCCCTCCAGTACTGGGGATGTTGGGACTTTGCGTTTGCCAGGCAGGTGCTTATGCCACTGAGCTATGTCCCCAGCCCAAGCTTTTTTTCCTAAATTGGAACCAAAACATAGAAAGGCTGTTTTGCTTCATCACAGTACCATGATTCTCACCCTTCATTCATACTGAAGTACAGCTGACCTACTATACTATGAATTCTATATCCGTAGTGCAAATAAAGAGTGGATCAAAAATACAAAAAAATATGCCTGAACTGAATATTTAGGCCTTTTTCTCCTCATCTGTCCTTAAACACATAGTGTAACAACTACTTACACAGCCTTAATATATCAGGTATTATAAGTAATCTACAGTTAATTTAAAATATAAAGGAGAAGATAGCTCAGTGGCATAAGCACCTGCCTGGAAAGCACAAGGTCCTGTGTTCAATC